TTTGAAGCAAACTGAAACTTGTATTTCACTAACTTTTGAACAAATGCCACTAAATAAATCTATTATTTACGCTTTGCAAATATGGGATATGGAGTTGAATGGGGTTAGGGAATTGGCCGACTGGTTTGTTTCTGAGGTTGGCCGTTGAGAACGCGTAGCTTTTGAGAGGTAAAGTCCGATGAAACACAAGGATGAAAATCACTTGGTACTTCCCCTTCCTCACCTTTGATTCCTTCTGAATCCAAATATATATATATATATATATATATATATATATATATATATATATATATATATATATATATTTGCAAGATACAAAAACTGCTATTTATCATGTGATTCGTGTCTAGTTTAATAAGAACATGTTAATAGTCACATTTATATTAAGGAAATCACAAAGTTTAATCGTGTAATTGACTACTAATTGATTATGCACATGTTAACCATCACATTTACCAACTTTTAAATAAATAATTAATCGAAGAGAAAGACTATGAAATTTGTTTGCCTTTCGTATGTTTAGGTTGTGTTTGGCGCATCAGAGCTATCTTATTTTTCAAGTTTTTTTATGTTATTGTGTTTGGTGAGCCAAAAATTAACTTATAAGCTAGCTTATATGTTAACTTTTTTGAAAAGCTACTTAGACTAGTTTTTTATGAGTTTTTTTTTTCAAAATTTCCCAAATATACCCCTTAATTAATTATATAAACACATTTTCTCAATTCGTTTTTATATAATTTTATATCTATCAGCTATCAATTAATTTTTTATTTAACAAATATCTTTTATATTAACCAGCTTTTCAACTAACAACTAGCTTTTCAGCTAGGATGTCAAACATAACTTTAGTTTCTTATAATTAAACACTTGAAACATGTATTTATATGAGTGAATTTTTATCTTCGAACAATTATTATAGATATGATAATTTGATAATTACTCTTTTTATATTATTAAAATGCATTTCTTATGATTGAAAATAGATTTAGCATTTTCAATATATAATAAAGGATATTGTTTTTTTTAAATAGTAATTTGGTAGAATGTTTTAAAGTTACTAAGTAGCCCATTTTATGTTTTAAAAAAAGTAAGAAATTTTTGTTTTTGTGTAGTTACTTGTTATCTTAGATTTAATGTCACCCATGACCCATCTATCAAAATTTACAGTTTCGGTTCAAAATTTTAAACTTTATTATAAATTTTGTCCGAATATAAAATTTTATTACGAATTCACACCAAATTTATTTATTTTTTACAAAATTATTATTCTAGGAAGATCATTTATTTTTACAAAATTATTAGTAATTGAGTTTTGTCACCCATGACCCATCTATCAAAATTTACACTTTTGGTTCAAAATTTTAAACTTTATTATAAATTTTGTCCGAATATAAAATTTTATCACGAAGAGACGTTTGTACCTGTAGCTAGACTTAAATAAATTTGTAAGTTACTCGCCTATGATACTCATAAAAATTCTGATGTCTATCAAATGGATGTCAAGTGTGCATTTATGAATGGACAATTTGAAGAAACAGTCTATGTTGAACAACCTCTAGGTTTTATGAATGAAATTTTTTTGAATCACTATTATATTCTAGACAAAGCAATGTATGGTCTTAAACAAGTTTTGAGGGCATGGTATGATACTCTGACTCATTTTCTTAAACAATCAAAATATAAATAATGTTCAGTTGATCCTATCTTTTGTCGGAACAAGGAGGTAACCATTTAATGATAGCGCAGATTTATGTTGATGACATTACTTTCGAATCAATTAATCCCAACTTAACTACTGAATTCTGAAAATAAATGGAAACAAAATTTCAATTGAGTTCTATTGGTAAAATTAACTTTTTATCTGGCTTAAATATAAGACAAGATTCATAAGGTATATTCATCAATCAAGAATTCTTCACAAAGACGTTACTAGCTAAATTCGGAATGGTGGGTGATTCAAAAGTCAAAGTCCCTATGGCGTTTGGAACGAAACTCACACCTTCTATTGATAAACTGACATCAGATATTACCTTATATTGTTGTATGATCAGATCCTTGTTGTATCTGACATCCAGTCGCTCTGACATTATGTTTACTGTCTGTTACTATGCTAGGTTTCAAGTGAATCCTAAGAACCTTACATGTTGGCAGTTAAGAGCATATTCCGTTATCTGAAACGAACCACTTCTCTTGGTCTATAGTAACCATCGAATTCGGGATTCTTTATGCAAGCTTACTCCGATGCTGACTTAGGGGGTTGTGGTCTTGATCGGAAAAGTACATCAGGTGGATGTTAGTTTTTGGATGGCAAGCTTGTTAGTTTGCAATCTACGAAGGAAACATGTGTTTCCTTATCTAGAGTTGAAGGAGAATACATCGTAGTAGCATCATGCACTTCCTAAGTGGTATGGATTCAGAACTAGCTAAAAGATTATGGAATCAATATGAAATGAATTCCTTTGTATTGTGATTCTGAAAACGCCATAAGAATTTGTCACAATCCAGTGCAACACTCCAAGACAAAGCATATAGCAATGAGATATCACTTCATAAAGGATCATGTCAAGGACGGAAATGTAGAAGTTCATTTTGTTAGATCCTCAGAACAATTAGCTGATAATTTCACAAAGGCCTTACCAGAAGCATCATTTAATTGAATTCTACAAGGTTTGGGAATGATTGAAGGCGACTCAGTTGCGAAATTCACTTCATAATCATCCTTGTTTGGAAGTTACTGTTCACAATCCGAATGGTTCCGAGCTTCAGAATGGTTTGAAATTCACTATTCACATTTCGACTTGCTCCGAGCTTCGGAATGGTTCTGAACTCATTGTTCACTTTGGACTTGCTCCGATCTTCAAAATGGTTCTGAGTTACTATTCATTAGGATTATGGAACCTTTTATCTCTATAAGTATTTTGTTATTTTCTTTACTTTTGTCTATTCCTCTATTATCATTCTAAAGTCACTGATTATTTACTTCCCGAATCATTTTTTCAAAAAAAAAAAAAAAAAAATACCAAAAATAGTTTTTCAAAAATTCAAAATCTCAAAAATATTTTTTTTGTGATCTCATAAATTAAAAACACCAAAAATACTTTATTTTCTAAGTCTCAATGGTAAATTAACAAGTGAATTTTAGTATGCAACAAGAAATTGATGGCCGACTTAATCAGTTCTTTCTACCATATCTTATCTCAACTTCCAAGTAGTCCCTTGATTATTGGAACAAATCCAGTTTTGGTACAGGGCTACAAAACTCTTGTTAATGATTGTAAATCATTGTCAACAAGATTTTCGTGAAACTCCCAACCATTCAACTCAGAAATCTATTATTCTGCATTGTGACCCTTAAGACTCTTAGGTTTAACCATTGATGTTTAGGTTATAGAACATCTATGTTTATGTTCTTGACACCACATTGTTGTTGTAACGGTTTCCAAAAGTCATTGATGAGCTGGCACAATTTTATTGGATAATTTTTCAGCATGCAGGAACATGAAACATCGGTTTCTCTCTCCACACATCATATACCGTATAAAAGGCTCTTAAATGGTTCACTTTCTCTCACCACAAACACGATTCTCAAATACTCAAAGAAAAAATTGATCTTGATCTCTACTTTTCATCATCTTTCAAACAACTTTCATGGCTGGTTCATCTGAGCAAGTTTCCTTTGCCGACCAGTCAGCTTTAGTCATCATGTTGACTGTTAAGTCAAACCAGAACATGATCGTTGATCTCGATGCTTCTCGTTACAATGCCCTAATCAGACCCATTATTGAATGCCTTAAGTTCTCGCAACTGGTGAAGGCGTTAACAATGGTTGAACAAGTTACACTAGTTCATCTTTCTAAATCCTTCTCTACTGCTCTTTACTACAACGCATACGATGTTATCCACTTTGTAGTCACCAACCACAAAACATCGATTTCAAAGATTAATTTTTGCAAACTACTAGGACTCATTACACAAGAGGTTAGTGTCGACCCTGACTTGATTCTTGCAACTATATCATCGAGATGTTCTTCTAGATGGGTTACAATGGTGACATATCCTTGCTCTCCAAGTTCATAAAGCCTTTCTTGTTGCCGCTGTGGAATGGGTTATTTATCTTTTTCTCCAAGAGTTTATTGAAAATGGTTTTTGGCTCTGACAATGCCAGTAAGGGCTTCTATACCTTAATCTATGGTCTTTACAATGGAATCAACTTCGACTATGGATCTGTCATCTGGAATCAATTTGTCCAAAGCACCACTTCATTTACACGACACATAAAAATTTTGTGTGATTGCTTTTGGTCAATAGTTATGAACTAAGCCCTAACTCACTTCAAGGTTCCACTAATGAATGACTCCCTCATGGCTGAAATTTCAACTTCATATGAAAACATTTGGTATGTCGGATCCGAGGAACATCAATTTTGTTGGCTCAATTCCTGAAATTATGTTTAATAAGGTATCACTAGACAACTCTATAATTAGTGATTATCAGAAATTGCCCGATTTAGGAGTTCGTCCCATCCCCACATAATAACAAAAGATAATTGATGATGGTAATAAACCGAAGTGGGGAGGAAAAAGGAAAGAAAACACAACCTCTTCAGAAAGTGTCAAAGTTAATAAGAGGGCAAAGAAACCAACCTAGAAACTAAGATTTCCATCTCCAGTTATTCAATAAGAATATGAAGAAAGAAGTATTGTTGAAGTTCAAGAGGATGACACACTCCGAAATGAAGAGAAAGATATAGCTGGAACTTCTGAACCAACCCCTACAAAAAATATTCTGAATGTATCTTCTCCACCTTCTTCCTCCATTCCATATTCTAAGATTTTTGAAACTATTCTATGACAACCATTTCTCAACCTCACAACTACTCCATCACCACCAACTGTTACTCCACCAACCTTACCAATGACATCCTCACCTATTACCTCCTCAATTTTGATATCATCCATCCCTCCTCTACCAGTAACGAATTCTATTAGAATATCTCTTCCTTAGATCTCAATCCCTCTATCCTGGCTTATCTTTACTAATTCAACCACTCCTACTACATCATCGGTTTCTACTCTATAGGAAGTTTCAATGGTCGAATCCATTTCGGAGGAGACTAGGGCTTCGAGCATTCCTGTCAACATCAACATTGACGATGATGATGCTCCAAAACATAACGATGATGGCATCCTGTTTGGTGAAGATCAAGAACCGATTATTGATTTTTTCTTCAACCCATTCACTATCAACATCAACATTGACGATGATGATGCTCCAGTGACAAAAGGACGGTTCAAGCAGCTGAAAGGAAAGCTCCACTATAACTTGGAGTCTTCCTACTCATCTTCTTCATCAAAATAGGAATACATGTTGACATCACATAAAGCTACTGTGGAGATGCTCACATCGTCAAATGCCAAATTCCTTGAAGAAACAATGAAGGTATGTCAAGATTCAGAAAAGAGGGTCACAAAAGCTTTTGAAAAGGTCCAACAGTTACAAAAAAAAATTCAAAGAATTTATGGCTAACTTCAAGACCTCCTCTGATAAGAATACAACTGACATGAACAAGATCATTGTAGGATTTCGGTCCTATGTGCAAGCTGGAAAACAAGATTTCTCAACACTTCTTGCGAAAAAAATGCTTGACAATACTGAGCTCAACACCTCCATTTCTAAATAGCTTACCCAGTTAGAAAACAACTTAGCTACTGAAAACAAGTTTATGGACGCACTGGCAGAGTAGATGTAGAAAATGAAGGTCCTCACTGAGAAGCTGAAGAATGCTACCCAGATAATTGTCAAACTTGAAGAAGAAATATCTCTAGTTAAAGGGTGCATTTTCAAAATCAATACACGCTTTTTATGAATCATCTTCCTTCACTGTCTTTGTTAGAAAAAATCTCTCTGAAAAGATTCAACCTAAAATCGCAATGCTAAATCAACTACATGGGGTTTCCGGAAGCAAGGCTTTTGCAAAACAAGGGGGGATGAGGAAGAAAACACTACTAGAAAAAAGGCCTTTTACGACGCTCATTGCGCGTCGTAAAAGGCTCAGACGACGCGCAAATGCGTGTCAAAGAAGGCCCTGTCATAAAGAGAGACGACGCACATTTACGACGCTCATTTACGACGCGCAATTACGACGCGCGTTTACGACACGCAATGCATATCAAGGAAGGCCCTGTCGTAAAGGAAGTTGACACGCATTCGCGTGTCGTAACCTTACGACGCGCGTGTTAATGACACGCAATGCGTATCAAGAAAGCCCCTGTCAAGAAAGGCCATGTCATAAATGAAGATGACACACATTTTTGCGTATCGTAAATTTAAATGTTTTAAAAAAATAAATTTATATATTTATTAATTTTTAAATTAAATTTGCATTTAATTTCTCATAATAGAAATAAAATACCATATACAAAAAATACAATCCATTGCATAATATAAAATAAAATTCATACTCAAAAAATAAAATAAATTGCACAAATTGTAATGTCATACAAAGAATCATTTAAATGTTAAACAAAAATAATACATTGCTAACATGGGTTATACATTCCTATAAAACTAACAAATAATCATACAACTCTGTTTCTTACTGGAAAGGAATGTCAAACATGATTACAAGTCTCCCTTAATCTTGATTACTCACCTGCTTAAGTAGAATGTTGTTGTTGAGAAGGTTACCTAGCAACAGAGAAAAACACAACACCTCTCCCACAATCACAGCATCATTTACAGAGAAAGGGTTGTCAATTACTTTCATTAAGACTTTCATTCATTCACAAAAATATTAAATAAAAGGGTGAAACAGTAACTTACTTTTGATAAGTTGATCTCCCTTAGAGCAAACACAGCTAAAGCATTGAACAAGACCCTATTTCCCTCTTCTTTTAAAGTTTCCAGAATGTTTAGAATGCTCTCCTTACCCTGTTATTTCAAGTGTCAGGGGGAAAAAGTCCTCACTTTTGGTTCCCTATCAGATGCAACATCAAGAACAGAGAACATGATCTCACCAAACATAATCAATAATCAGATTGAATTATATATTATGAGTAAGTAATAAAGTACATGTAACACAATAAAGTATTATTAAGGAACTTATGATTTCAAATATTATTTTTTACACTCAGATGCCAAAATATTTTATGTTATTCTTCTACAAGTTGAGAACCAACTCAAACATGAAAGATAATAGTCCATTTGGCAGCTTTTGATGACATGGCAAATGAAATTTCTCAGAGATAGAATAATACCTGTACTATTAAAATGATGGCAACCACAACAGGTGGTCCAATAACTACAGCCAAAAACATGCCTTTAATCATGTCTGGAAAGAAAAGAAAGATTGTTTGCTGCAATCATAAATCCCATGTGTTACAAACTTATATCCAAATTTAAATTAAATAAAAAGAGAAAACTGTAAAAACAAATTATATCTAAGGTAATACACCATACAAAAAAATAGCAGAGTCCATCAGTATTGTTACAAACCCATGAAGGAAGTGGAAGTTACTGGAAAAAAAAACATATGATTTGAGGCCTGTTCTCCATTCTTCCAAATAAGATAAATTGAGAAGCATTTTTCAAAAAAAGACCATTTTCTTGGAGTATGCACAGGCCAAGCCTGCAAATAAAAATTGCATCAAGTATAAAAGAGAACAGGGAAACTAATATTAAAAACAAGAACTTTGATCATTAGAAAAAAAGAGAGAGAAAAATAGAGAGGGAAGAAATGGAATGGAATGACTCATTTCATTCCATTCCATTCTATATTCAACCTTTACCTTGTTTTCTTATCATTATCAGTTGTATCTGCACCTCTTTCATTTCCTGCAAGATTTAAAAATGAAGAATGGCATGTGATCGTGAAGATTCCTCATTTGCATCTGTTGTCCTTGTGATTGTAAATTAGTAAAAGCATAATATAAAAAACTGAAGTAGAGAAGTGACTTCTGTACTTGATAATATATTCCTCATTTAGGCAAAACGGCTTGAAGAACGCGACATGCAGCAGCTTGCAACATAGGTTCCCTGTCGCTTTCAAATATGGTTTCCAACAACTGCTTGCATTTTAGTTTGTTCAGCTTTGTTTTTACTTCCTCCATATTAGAAGATCAATTTGGCTTACACAACGCGTATAATCTGGAGGAAAGGTTAAGTCCATCTGCAACAACCTGTTCTTCAATAGGAGTAACTTGACCAATGCAACGTTTTTTCCAAGATCCTGAAACCCAAGAACTGCTACCAAGCACACGTGCCTCCATGTCCAGTAATGCATCCATTTTCTCCTTCCAACCAAATTCATCCTTTACTCTACCATAAATTTCTAAAGTGTCTATTCTTGGTAAGGTTGATCCGTTGAAAGTTGTTCCTATGGAGATTGTAATTTCTTCATCAGCTAGAAGGGATTTTGCAACTATAAATGGGATGTCATACCATGACCTCATGCCTTCGTCTAGTTTTATAACTCTTTGGAAAATTGTTATCTCAGAGGGTATATTGTTTGCTAATGTGTTCCCCACATGGACACGAAATCCAACCATTACTATGTTTGGATTCGAATTGGAAACTGTTACCTGGAATGGGAAAACACAAGGTATCAATCATGAATCAATACAAATAATTCAGGGACTGTTTCTTTTTTCTTTTATTTTCCCATCAAGTCTTGTATGGTAAAGTGGTTGAATTGTTAGCAACTATAAAACAGCCCCTAAGACCAAATGACCATTTTACCCTTACATCCTAACAAAAAAATTTCATAATCATCATCAATTTTAACATGAGAGAAGTTGGTGGAGAAAACATCAAGGGCAAGTAGGGGAAGGGTTGGTGTTTTGATACACTAAGCTATCCGGATTAAGTGGTTAACCAAGAAAGCCCATCAAGTCAAACAAAAAAAGTAAAACATAAATAGCATTGTAACAAAGCATACCTTGAACCCTGTAGGTGTAGGACTTTCAAGAAATCCTTCTTCTGTGGACCAAATCCAGGTCAAGGAATTTCTTCTGTATATCTGGATTGAAATTAGGGCATGTGTCTCCAGAAAAAAGATCAACAAAGAAAGTAAGGACCTTCACATTAACCGATTTAGAGTTGCAATTATCCAATGCATCGAAAAAGACCAAAATATCCCCACACTGAGAGCCAAATCTGTCATCAAGTTCTTTTGAAAGATCTCCATCAGACATGAAAAACTTTAGCAATTGTACCCTTGAAGGATCCTTTATGATGCTGTCTATGATATCAACAGCTTTGGAGACTCCACATTCGTTAACAGAGCTATCAACACTTTCTCTTCTCTATCTTTCTGCTCATTTTTTCTTTTCTTTCCCATTTTCTGTTCAGTCTTGTCGCGCACACACAAACACCATCTAGGAAGTAGGACGACGTGAACGATGGTGGAGGTGATAGCCGGCGGTGGCTGGTTTAGGGCTTTTAGAGAATATGAGATATTTTTGTTCAGAGAGAGAAAGTGGAATCGATGAGAATGTAAGCTTCGGTTACTTTATAGCAGAGATGGCATCATGCTTGAAGGTGGTTACAATCAGCATTGATTTTGGGTGGATGGTAGGTGAAGCGGGGATGTCGATCGACGTTTCAGAGTAAAATCAGAGATTGGAGAGCCCAAGAGGAGAGAATGAGAGCCCAAGAGTAAAATCATAAATGTATGGAGTGTGACTGAGTTTTTAGGGTTCAATGGTAGTGACGATGGCTTAGGGTTTGCAGATGGTGGTGTGGGGGTCGTCGGTTGCTTTACAAAGAGATATGAAGTCGAGACGAAAAGACGAGATTGACCCATCTGGTAATAAACGGACTCGGGAAGCTGAACAAAATGACCCGAGATTGACCCATCTAGTAACAACGCTATTGATGCCATTCCTTCCATTTTCTACTGTTCATCCTCCACTTCCTCTACTGCTACTTCTTCACCATCTTCTATTTTTTCTGTATTTAGACTTGAGAGTATAATTAGGGCTTTTTCTAACAATTTCAACATCGAGTGGGAGATATGGTGGTTCCAGTAGGTAGAAGTGAGGGAAGAAGTAGGCAGCAGTCAATGTCGGGAGGGGGAAGGAAGGAGCGTCCATAATTTGGGCAAGAGGGAAAGGAGAAAAAAAAGGAATTAAGGCGGGATTTTTAATTTTTTCAGAATTTCATTTCCCCCTACTGTTAAAGGATGGAACGCGCGTTCCATTAAAAATTATAAAGCGACATCCTTAGACGACGCGCATTTTATTATAGGTGCCCTCCGTGTTTTTTTTAGACACTGATTTAAGGGCGCGCAATAATGCGTGTCTTCTATCCTTAAATTTTTTGAAGAGATGAGATTTTTCTAATGTCACTCTCCTTTGCGTAACATAGATCAATGAGCGTCGAATTTTTCGCGTCGTAAAAGGCCTTTTTTCTAGTAGTGAAAGTTAAAAAATGAGACTGATCGAAAGGATAATGAAGCATCTGGTTTAGGAAAATATAAAAAGAAAGGTATTTCAGAAGAAGACAACGATGAAAATCCGATAATGTTTGAATCAGAAAGGATTGCTATGGAGAAAATAGACAAAGAGCTTGATGAACTCAATGCTCTTCGGAAGAAATTCGAGGCAGAAGAAGCAGAAGCTAAGAATGCGAATCTAATTCTTGAAACTCATAAAACCATGTTCCCTGCCTGGTCTCTTGATCATATTCAGAAAGAAGCCATAGATGATTAGAATCTCTACTGGTTGGAGCCAACAATCTTGTTGGACTTAAATAATGATGTGGAATGTTAGATTGTTTTTTCCATCACTCCGAGGGTATTTCTCTTTAGATGCTTTGAGAAGATAGAGAAATCCATGATCTCTGACAATGCAGAAAATCAAAAGCTTTTTTGGTTTTACTTGAAATATGAGAAACCGCAGTGTGAGACATGGAGCCTAAAAAGAATTATGGAAGTGAAGGTTGGACTACCAATTCAGACTGAAGACTTCTTGAATATCCACTTCAAAGGATTTCGAGGTGCCAATCACATTCTTTACGAGTTCACTTTGGCTGATTTGTAATTCGTTAACCATTATGATTGGTTATCTCTGTTCTAGATTTGTGGTAAAGGATGCTCAAAAGTATAAGCCTATTATTCCACACTTGAAATGGATGATAAAATGTTACATCCTTGAAATTGTGAAGATGGATGTTGATATCACATCTATTATGAAGAAGAGCCCTATTTTGAAACCTAAAGAACAGCCGAAAGATATCCAAAATTTGAATGTAGGAGTCATTTGGAATAAGCATTGGAGAATTATTTACAAAAGAAAGGAAGATGAAGATATCCACAAATGCATGTGCTTCTTAATGGATAAACACCTGTATTCTATGAATGTACTAAAACTAATCATATCTTTGGCCGAAGCCAACAAAGAAAACTATGATGCCGACATCAAATGCATTTCAGATATGATTCGCTGGTACTTGTCTATTTGAAGTTCACTTTTGAAGATAATGCCAAAGAATTTGGACGCGCAAAGACAATAGTGAAGACCTCCTTCCGATTTGACACAAATGGGGATATTGTTAGGCCTAATATTTTGTTGTGTCAAATGTATGATATTATATTTATGTTTATTCTAAAATAGGTCTGTCCATGTTCGAAACCAGTGTAAGTTTTAGTCTATAAATAGTGTGCATGTAACTTTTATGGTTACGACTTTTTAAAGTAAGTACATTGTAGTTCCGCATTAAGAAATATTGTATTGTTGTGATTAATAATTATTTGGCACATTTTTGATCATTGTCGTTTCTTGTATATAATTCAACTAAAAAATATAGAATGTATCAATCTTTATTGTTTTCACAATTTTGACCTTGGGGTTGATATGGAGCGGACATAACCACGTCCTATTAATTGACATGTATGGTGTATGTGGTAATTTGGGAAGTTCACTAAGCTTTATGCTTACAGTTTGTGTTATGGTTTCAGGTACTTCTAGTTCCAAAGGGAAGGGTCCGACATATGATGGCACATCATCCCCCCACATGACTTCCACACTTGATGTTTTTATACTATGATATTTTCGAATATTATAATGAATGACGGTTTTGATGCAATCAACGAATGAAAATAATTTTTTAGATTAAAATTTTTGGCAGTGTTTTTGGGTTGTTGAAGTTAGGTTGTTTGTTGATAATATTGATTAAATTGATAATAAACAAAAGTGCATTGCTAGTATGATTAAAAGTTAGGTTGTTTGTTGATAATGTTGATTCAATTGAGAATAAACAGAAGTATGTTGCTATTATGGTTAAAAATTAGGTAGTTTGTTGATAATATTGATTAAATTTATAATAAAGAAAAGTATGTTGTTATTATGGTTAAAAGTTATGTAGTTTTTGATTAAAATTGATAAAATTGATAATAAACTAAAGTGCGTTGCTATTATTCTTTAAGTATTGAATTGGATTGCCATTTGTAGGTTGATATTGCTATTAGTGTTTAAGTATTGAATTATGTTACCATTTTTTTTATGTTGAGAGGTGCGTGGGCAAGTTTCAATCATTGAAAAACAAAAACAAATGAAAGAACAAATGAAAATGATTATGAGGATTTTAAATATGCCTGGATATCAACCTCGTGACCCCCCCCCCCTCCCCGGATAATATACCCAAGGACAATTAATTTGTATAAACTTCGTATTGTTTTCTTGTTTGTTTTGTTAGAGCTTAGTTTGTATGATATTTTGGATATTGGAATCGAATGTGTAAAATTTGGTATTAGGGGCATTTTACTTGTATATTTTGTATGGTATTTGGGACATATATAATTGAATATGGTACTTACCAAAAAAATGGAAATTTTTAAAATTTTATTTTTTTTAATAAAACAAAATTAGTGATGGATTTCCATCGCTAAATAGGTCTTTAGGTATTCGGTAGGTAAGAAGTCAATCTTGAATTCCATCACTAATTCATAGTAAAATCTATAGCTAAATAGTATCGTAGGTATTCTTTAGGAAAAAGTCAAATTTAGTCAAACTTGACTCCCATTGGTAATGCGTAACTATTTATTAATGTAGCTATTCCATAGAAAAAAGTCAAATTTGGCTAAACTTAATTCCTATTGTTAATCCATAGGAAATCCGTAGTAATTTATTTCCGTTGCTATTTTGTAGGAAAAAGATGAATGTTGTCGGTAATCCGTAAGAAATCTGTAGCTATTTATTTCCATAGCTATTACACCTATGGAAAAAGACGTAGGTGAACCGTATGTGTAATTTACCCACGAGCAATTATGCTACAAGACCTTTTCCATAGCAATTCCGTAGGTATCGTAGTATATCTACCGAATACCTACGAATTGTGTCGTAGCTAATGCCTCATCTTTCTAGTAGTGATCCATAAGTAAGGATAATGTCATAAAAAACCTTAAGTTTGGCAGAAAATGTCGGTTTTACCCTTCGGCAGATTTTTGGTTCATTTATACCGCAAACTTGTCATTTTTTTGTCGGTTTTGCCCTTGTTACCTGCAATAGCAGGTTTCCAGGTTATTATGAATTATTTTTTATGAAAAAACCCTTAAGTTTACAAATATTTTGCAAAAAAACCCTTAAGATATATAAACATATAAAACATAAATATATATTCAAAATTTTATAAAACTAAATATTTTTTTACTGAAACATATTTTTAGCTTTATGTATGGTATATTTTATATTTGTTTGATATAAAGTTTTTTATTTAAATTTTAAAAAATTTACCTAATTTTATCAAAATTTAAATATTTATTAATTAATGCTTAAACTTTTCAAAGTAACATTAAAAAACGTCTGTTAACTAATAATAATATGACATTAGTGCCATTCAATTAATTTTTTTTAAAAGAAAAATAAAAATGTTTTATATGTTTAAAATGTTTGAATTTCAGAAATAATAAACTATCATATTTTATATAAAAATAAATATATTTATATAATAAATTAGACAAATATATTTATATTTTATATGTTTAAAATGTTTATATTTATTTTTGATGTTTAACATGTTTATGATATTTTTATAAAAAAATATGATAATATTATTATGTATTTAAACATATAAAAAATACGATATGTTAGTATTTCTGAAATACAAACCTTTTAAACATATAAAATATTTTTATTTACCTTTTAAAAAAATTAATTGAATGTACATGATACCATATTATTCATAATAACTATTTTAGCATAATTACTTATTAACTAACAAATGTTTTTTAATTTTGTTTTGAAAAGTTGAAGTATTAATTAAGAAATATATTCAAATTTTGTTAAAACTAGGTAACTTTTTTAAAATTTAAATATAAAAACTTTATATCAAACAAATATAAAATTTACCGTACATAAAGCTAAAAATATGTTTCAGTAGAAAACTATTTAGTTTTATAAAATTTTGAATATATATTTATATTTTATATGTTTATAATCTTAAGGATTTTTTTGCAAAATATTTGTAAACTTAAGGGTTTTTTCGCAAAAAAATAATTCATAATAACCTGGAAACCTACTATTGCAGGTAACAAGGGCAAAACCGACAAAAAAATGACAAGTTTGCGGTATAAATGAACCAAAAATCTGCCGAAGGGTAAAACCAACATTTTCTGCCAAACTTAAGGTTTTTTATGACATTATCCCTCCATAAGTATAAATATATTACACTCATAATTTAATCTATTATATTTCAGTAAAAGTAAGTTGTGGTCAGAAGAAACAAATCAACCTATGGTTAAAAGTAATTTATCCTCACGACTTAATTTCTTTTATGAGAATAAGACCATAGTCATGATATAAAAAAAAAAAAAAAAACTTATGACTATAACTATTTTATGATCACTATTTAAATTATTATACGTGTCTAAAAGTAACAATAGTTATGAAAAACGAAAAAACAAATGATTATGCATATTTTATGGTCACAATTTAATCTATTACGTGATACTAAAATTTTTAAAAATATTCATGACAAACAAAAAATGGTATGACTTATAGTCACGACTAATTAAAAAATGTGTCGGTAAGTTAGCAATAGTCATAATAAACAAAATAACCTAAATAACCTGCGACGAAAAGTAATTTAATGATATATAATCATGACAATTAAACATCATCCTAACTTATCATTAATGAAGCAATTTTTCCGACGCATTGAATAATAAAACCACTCATAAAATGTTTATTTGATGGTTTTTTACGCTAACAAAAGCCAATTTTGTACTAGTGGTGGTTACTGCCGAAGTTGATGCATTGAATAATAAAACCACTCATAAAATGTTTATTTGATGCATTTACAATTTTTGCTGACCTCTTTTAAGATTCAGAACATATCAAAAAACAGCGACCTAAATATTTAAAAAGCAATTTATTTTTTAGAATTAAAAAATTTTTTCTAATTTTTTCACCTATAGACTTTAGTAGTTTGTCACATAATTAAAATTTAGTATATCAAACTACGTTTATTATGACAATACCATTTATTACATATACCAGGCACGTAAAACATAAGATAACAACGTAGTGCAACATCCGATACAAAGAAAATCCTTTATTGTCGCCTGTATTGATATGGCATTAGATTTTGATTTATTTAATTCGGGAGTTGGCAAGCCTCTATGTCTCTGGTAACCTTCTCGTAGAATTCCATCAGCGTATCGGGATCAGGAACATTTGGGTTCAACTTCTCATACTCAACAGTCCATGTGACAATGTTGTCTGAACCATCTTTGTCTACTTGAATATGTATAACAAAGGTCTTATATAAATCCATGAGATCACCTTCAACAACCTTAAATGTGACCGACTTTTTTCCCTCGTTGAAATCCGTGGTTATTGTTTTTCCAACACGGTCTTTTCCATCTACAATGTCGTCATATCATCAAAAACATTGAGTCGAAGTGCATTTACGTGGACAAAGAAATACATTTATATGGTTCCACTCTATACTACATCGAATTTCTAGTAATTAAACAGACCATTATAAAAATATAATAGGGTACACATGTGTGGCTTACCATGAAAATAGTTCCAGACGAGACAACAGCCCAGGTTTCCAACTTCACCTTCATGGACTTGGCAGTTTTGGATGTAAGTCGGTGTCAAGGTGGGAACTTGGTTGGGGTTTGCCTTCCATAACTGGTGAAAAGCATCACAATCTGACTTAATCTTAACCTGATTTGTTTTAGTACTAAGTGCCATATCTCTCTCTAGGTTAGTGCTTGAATGAGAATTACTTGCTCCTGTCATCACAATTTATAGATCGATCAATAATATCCTCCATTCCCCACCACCTAATAATTTAATCACCTTACTATTCATAATGCTAAAAAATAGTATGTACTCATAAGATTTAAAAAGAACTATTTGATCATGTGATTCATGTTTAATTAGATGTGCATATCTTATAGTAGTCACGATTTTATTAAAGTTAACCAAGAAAAAAGTACCTGCTATTTTGCGTATTTATTTTATCATCCAAATTACTCGGAATCGCTTATTAATTGATGGATTATTATTTACTCCTTTACGGTATTAAAAACATCTGTTATTTTTATATATTAAAAATATGCAAGGGGGCTGAAAGTGTGCAAGGTGTGCAAGGTGTGCAAGACGCAACAAAACTATATACTGTATTATAATTTTATGTCCACCATTGTTGTCGTATTTAGTATATGAGTTGGGTGATAGACCCACCTTGTGTACCTTGTGTTCCTTCGTATTGTTTACCGGGTATCGATTCTTGCTTCCCCATCATCTGCTCTATTTTTTTACAAATGAGTTTAACTTCATAACTCTTTGTTAAATTTCATTACACCTAATTCATGAGACATCACTTTTTTTTTCTAACGCAATTCTTGAGTCCATTAAGTGGATTTATAAAATTACGTCTTTTTTCCTTTAGCTAGGAAAAAAAAAAAAAAAACAACGACAACAACCACCACCAACACAAAATTACATTTTCTCCCTTGGTTAGCAAGTTACGAATTTCTTTCTTTTTTCTAACCCGATTCCTATTTTTTCTACGAGTTTCAACGTTTCATTTTTAAATTTCAAGTTTACTTCAGAAACAGAAATGCTCAAGTAGTCAAGTGTCATGCAAGCTTGTTGGACGTGGATTCCACATTTCAGTCTTCTAAAAACATTAGGAGAACCTTGTGGTTTATGTAATTATAGAAGATAATATATTGTATTATGGTTATTTTGTTTTGATTGTTTTTATAGTATTTATCGACTTATTTGTAGTATCACAGAAATTTGCTTTGGTATAAATAAAAAGTTATATTTCAGGACTCATATTTTTTATAGGCCCTCAATATCAATGGGAAACCCTAAATAAATATTAAACATTTGAAAATAACTTGACCGATCACAAGAAAAAAGTGAAATTCATGTAACCTATGGGAAGGGTTACAAATTTCCATCAAGAAAAAAACACTACTAGAAACATGAGTTTTAGAGACGGACGAATCTGTCGCAAATCCGTCGTTAAAGATCATTTGTGACGGATCAACCGCAGACTTACTCCATAGCCAATTAAATGCTGGCTAATGACTTAGCGAAGGATTTAGCGTCGGATTAGTTTTCTCTTGCGACGACCTTAGCGACAGAATATCCATCGCATAATGGCACTTAATACTACAATTTAGGACATTGGCAACAAAACCTAACAACAATATTCTGTCACTAATCCCTCGCAAACCTCTATATCAGTTTTTTTCAATGCATCGCTAATCCCTTGCAAATTTAGACGTGATTTTTTTTCTTCCCGTCGCAGATCTATCGCAAATTTAAGATGTGGAATTTTTTCCATAGCTATTCCCTTGTAAATACATAATATCATATTTTTGTTTGTTATGAATCTAAAACAAAATAATACCAAAAAATCAAATAATTATGTAATCAAAAACAAATATTAACATTAAAATACCAAAAACATCCAATAAATATACATTCCCAAACCAAACTTCAACATTAAAATACCTAAAGAATCTAACCATCAAACTTTACCAAAACATCCATAAACATCAGGTATCAAAGTTCAGCATCGATTGATATTTGATTTAAAAGTATGATGTACCATAATTTTAAATTCTAAATTTCCTCTCATATTTTGCATTTTCGCACACATGTTCTCTGTTGCTTTGATTAACGTCCAAAAGAATGGTCAGAATGAAATTGGATTCCGATTCTCGTTCAATCCCATGGAATTAAGAGAACCAGTTTCCATTTAGTTTTTCCAGTAATGGAAAGACAATGGGTTGCATGATGTCTTCATGCTTTTTGCTAGATTTAATGTCTTTGTTGGAAGCAATGCTTTTTTGTTGATGAAAAAAAAAGATTAGTTTCTACTCATTTGAAACCAAATGTGGGACCATAATGGAATTGAATTCCGATTCCAACCAAAAAGTAAATGATAATACAGAAAATACCGTGTTTGCAAATTGCTTGTTAGAAATTGTTATCTCTCGAGGACCATCATCCACACCAAAATTAACATTAGATATAGCATTTTTTTAAAAACAATATGCAATATTTTGAATTAGGAAGGAAGTTAAAGACTAACCTTCATTGTCACACCCCGAAAACGGAAGGCGAAAACATTTCCGGGGCGGACTCTACGTTGAGTATCAAATCCAATTCACATAGTAAGCAAAGTAAACAACCATTACATTACATATTAGAATTTACATTTGTTCAAAAGTAAAGTTGTACAAGTATGATACATATGTGTGTGTGTGTGTGTATATATATATATATATATATATATATATATATATATATATGAACAAAAGTAAGACGTATCTTCAACGCACTCCGTCTTCATCAAAAGGGTCGTCGGGTACCTGTTTAATGCGGACCTGAGAATACAAGCATTTTAAAAATTAGGATAAAGCTGGTGAGTTCATAAGCTGTTTTGTTTTCTGAAAATGTATGAGTTTCCTTTCGGTTTCTGAAAAAGTTACAAACCCAAGAAAATCCCATATTTTCTTATAAGTAAAGTTTAGTTACCCATTTGTTACCCAGTTTGATTAAGAACAGTTTGTTATTTGATTTTTACACACTATGATTTAAGAACAAGTTCAGTTATCCTAGGAAAAACCCTTATTTTCCTAAAATGTTTATGAAGTGTTATCGAATCTGAAAGTAACGTACAAGTATCTACCATACTTAAATTGTGTGTGTGAAGTTTCCGATAAGTTTGGTTACCTTTACATGTACATTAGTTTTAACACGTATATAAAACTAATAAGTAAGTATAAAGTTTTCATAATCTTGATTGCGAGTTCCATAACCATACTACAGACTAGATATGACTCGGAACGGGGCCTATATCTTTTATGACTTTTGTCACCCTTGAACCTTTCGGTTCGGCTGTAGCTAGCAGCCAGCTGCGGGATAGTCAGTCACGTATAGATCTATACACTCAAGTCACGCTCTCCCTTTCCGGAGATTCTGGTTACAGAGATAGTCCTCCGCTCTCGTATCTAGGGGAAGTGTTGCAAAGGACATGTCTCTAATCTTAAGAATCATGAATTTAAAACTAAAATTATTAATACGGAAATCCTTTTTTATTGGTTCTTTACTCTCGCATCTAGGGGGAGTATTAACTAGGACCTGACTAAGTTCCAATGATACCTGTCCTTCACTCTCGTACCTAGGGGTGTTTTATTAAGGACAATACAAAAATTTTATGATTTCAAATAGTAAATGTGTGAACAATCAATTGTAAAGTATAAAGTATAACACTATATAATAAGAATCGTAATCGGTTTGAAAAAATAACTCTGCAAGTCAAACAGTTTGTTAATATGTTTTCAATTCTTAAAAGTCAACCGATTATGAAACCATTCAAACGAAATAATTAATTTAAGTACAAGATATTCTTGTACTTTTGCTTGTATTCCCCCCCCCCCTGAAAACATTGAAAAACATTGAAAAAGGGTAGGTGTATGAACTCACCGGACTAGAAAACGTGTCGGTTTGGATGCTATGTGTCGGTTCGGGGCTTGATAACGCGCGAGGTTCCTATGTAATATGAAATGATATACAATTGTATCTAATTAGACTTTTAACCACTAATTAGATATGAATATACACCTTGAGACGTGAAAACACTTCAATACGAGTGTTCGGAGTGACCTGGGTGACATCTATGGATGTGTAGGACCTAGATATGGAGTTTACTCTTCAAAAGTAAATTCTTTGAGGAGTTTACGATCCATTGACCATATCCCCACGAGTTTATGGCCGTAAACTCATGGGTGGTGTGTTCTTGGATGCCAAAATGTCTTACAATGCACACGGGAAAGTTCTAGGGTTGATTACATGGCTTAGAAAGTGATCGGGACTTGAAATGGCCTTGGGATTGGAGTTTACGGTCTATGAAGGTGTTCTTGAGGAGTTTACTACCTTAAACACATGAGTTTCCAACCATAGACTCATGTTTGTTCATAATTCATGGGTGTTGGTGTTTGTAGGTTAATCACATGTGATTCTAGTCCAACATACAAGCCATTCAAGGTATTAAGGACATTTTAACACCCATTTGAAGAGTTTATGGTCTAAGGAGATGAGTTTATGGTCTAAGAATGTTCTTGGACCGTAAACTCTAGTTTGTCCCATTTATGAATATTTTGGTGCATTACTTGAGGGGTTATAAGGTTCTATGCACTCATGGAAGGTCATTGGAGGTGTTTAGGGGAAAACTAACACCCTAAAAGGTGTTTAAGGTCTAAGAATGAGGGTTTACGGTCCAATCATGTTCTTGGACCGTAAACTCATGTTTGGTCCCTTCTTGTATGATTTGGTGCTTCAAATGATGGAGTAGAAGGTCCTAGACACGTTTGAAAGCTTTTGGTGGTGTTTAAGGGCATTTTTAACACCTTAAGAGGTGTTTATGGTTCATGCATGGGGGTTTATGGTCCAAGAAGGTTCTTGGGCCGTAAACTCATTTTCATACATCAAATGTCATGATTTTGGGGTCCTTAGTCCATGCATGCAAGTTTCTAAGTCGAATCTAAGCCGTAGAAGTGTTTTGGAGGGGTTTTGAGGCTTCAAAACCCTCATTACATGTGTTCATGGCCTAAGGAGGTTCCAAGACCATAAACACTTGTTTATGGTCCCATTCCTCATATAAATCACGAATTTGAAGGCCAAAGGTGTTAAACTAGGAGCTAGGATAGTTACCTTGATGATTTGAAGCTTGTTTTGGATGATTTTGGCTAAGTTTCGGATTTTAGAGAGAGAGAGAGTAGTGAGAGAAATTGTTTAGAGAGAGAGAAAAAGCTTCAAAATGATGTCACTCAATCCCTTATATAGGGGTTGAGTTTGTGGCCCGATGGAATTCTACCGATACTGCCGTTAGACGGTGCTTTTGGTCATACCCGATAATTTGACATAATCACGACTTAGATGAAAATAATAATTTTCCAAACAATTATGGAAAATATTTTAATGTTTATAACGCATCCCCAAACTTACGAAACCGAAATAAAAGTTGCAATTAAATTAATTTAACTCGAAGGTTAACGGGACAATATGAGTACGAACGGTTTTATTTAACAGGAACGGTTTTTGTGACGGAATAAATTTACAGGTTGTCACATTCATGGTCTGTAGGTCTTTCCACGGGCCTTTGCTTGGATGGAATGGAATGCACAAAGTAATGGAATGAACAATGTAATGGAATGAATCATTACATCAACCCCTTTTATAATTCCATCATTCCAAACACTACTTAAGAGAAAATGAATTAAGTAAATCCAAATACAGTTTTACTTGGGACTTCTTACTTACATTATTCCCCTGATCCCTTCCTGTATGATTAAAATAATCATTAAAAAAGATAAAATAATTTAAAGATATAGTTACATTATTGAAGAGCAGTCAAACCATGGTCAACACATAGAGAATTCGCTATGGAATTTTAGCACCACAAGACAAAGCCCGCAAAATATATATTAAAGTTTTTAATCTTTCAAATCATATCTTTTTTATTTACTGACGAAATCTATAAATTTAAAGAAAAAGTTTAATTATCTGTGCGATATTTTCTGGAATGGGACATGGACCAAATAATCGAGTTTTCAACAACTTTTGAAGGGATTTGAAATGTAATTCCTTTTTCAGCTAACATTGTAAGTATTTATCCTAAACTAAGAGCTAAAGTACTTACTCACTCACATGTTAGAAAAGATAAAGAAATAGGAATGGAATTGAATTCCTTCAAAACATGAAAGGAAAGGTGAATTCCATGAATGATGGAAATGGAATTCGAAAGATTTCAACTGAACTTCAATCTTTACCTCCAATTGAGCCTTGTTATATCATAATGGAAAGATGAATTGTTGAGCAAACTTTCCTTTTTCATAACTTTGAATTTCTTTTTGCATCGTCTTCATCTCTACAACTTGTGCCTTGAGAGCTATTTTTTGTAACTTCTCTTCCTTAAATATAAGATGTATTATTTATCAGTATGTTAATACACATAGCACATTATTAAATACAATTTCATATTTTTTAAGATAAATAAAAGTCTAAATGTAACACCCCGACTCTCAGATAAAACTTAACAGCCTTATTTTCATTTTGAAAGGTCTACTTGACGAATTGGATGCCCTGACTCGTTGAGTAGGAACGAACTTGGTTGCGTGTCTTAAGTGACCAACTCGACGAGTTGGAGGACACAACTCGACGAGTTGGAGCAGGAGGATGAAACCCTAATTTTTAGGGTTTTCATCCTATTTAAAGGACCTTATGTCCCTTCCTCCAGTCCTTCACCGCCTCCTTGATGGCTGAGAGAAACCATAACAAGTCTGGATCTTGTTCTTGAGTGTAGTGAGGGTAACAGTGCTTTGTTGGTGCATTCTTTGAAGAGATTTGAGGAGCCAGTGGATCGAGACGAAGAGAAGCATGTGGATCTAGTATCTACTTCATCTTGGCTTCATTTTGAAGGTAAAAATTCGTTACCTTAACTTATTTCTAGCTAGATCTCTCCATGATTGAGATTAGGGTGATTTTAGCATGTTGGTGATTCATTTCGGGTATTAGGCATGATCTGAAGTTATAACTTCAGATCTAGGCTGATCTTGGTCCTTATAGTGATAAAGATTTAGCCTTTAGCAAGATAATGCTTTTTCTTCACCTAGAACCTCTTCTTTAGCTTGATTTTGGCCTTTAGCAAGATAAAATCCATTTTTGTACTAGTCGTGGTTACTGCTGAAGTATTGGACGACCAAGCGATACATCGAGGATGCTCAATTGAACTCTTGTAGTGACACGACTACAATTGATGTGTCGCTATTGTTGCCCGATAGCAAGGATGGGCAGATAAAATACATATGGCACAGTTATCCAAACATAGGCAACCATTAGAACCTGGGGAGATGATCCAACAATTTGCGAAGGGTGCATGATTATTGTTGGATATGAAAGATCGAAGATTACCAAAGTAACTCCCACTACAATTTCTTGAGGACCGGTTGTTGTTCCTCCACGTCTAGAGTTATCAGAACGGAGGTTTTGAGAACGAATGATCACTAGAAGGCATGACATTCTTTGTTCCTCCAATAGTAGCAAAGATCGGCTTGTAACAAAGTCGAGAGAGGTGTATGGTGTCAAATGAATGTGATTATGTTATGGAATATTCTAGAGAGCCCATTGATTAGGTATGTGACTAGAGTTCATCCGGAAACAATCTTTCACAATATTTTTGTTAGTATATTTATTAAAATAATGATCATTCTCCAAGAACCATGGAGTGAAGTTCATTATCCAAGTCGATGAAAAGAGATCGAGTGATTATTCCATTCAACATCGTTGGTGCAGGCAGTGTTGGATCTATCGTTAAGGTGATCAATAATGTTGCTTCTAGTGCAATGGGCTTCAACCATTTACTTGCCATCAAAGATGATGTTCTTAACGTACTTTATTGGAGTAATTTGCATTTACATTTTTTGCTGATCTCTTTTAACATTCAGAACATTATCAAAACACAGTGACCTAAATATTTAAAAAGCAATTTATTTTTTAGAATTAAGAAATTTTTTCTAATTTTTTCACCTATATAGTAGTTTGTCACAGAATTAAAATTTAGTATATCAAACTACGTTTATTATGACAATACCATTTATTACATATATCAGGCGCATAAAACATAAGATAACAACGTAGTGCAACATCCGATACAAAGAAAATCCTTTATTGTCGCCTGTATTGATATGGCATTAGATTTTGATTTATTTAATTCGGGAGTTGGCAAGCCTCTATGTCTCTGGTAACCTTCTCGTAGAATTCCATCAGCGTATCGGGATCAGGAACATTTGGGTTCAACTTCTCATACTCAACAGTCCATGTGACAATGTTGTCTGAACCATCTTTGTCTACTTGAATATGTATAACAAAGGTCTTATATAAATCCATGAGATCACCTTCAACAACCTTAAATGTGACCAACTTTTTTCCCTCGTTGAAATCCGTGGTTATTGTTTTTCCAACACGGTCTTTTCCATCTACAATGCCGTCATATCATCAAAAACATTGAGTCGAAGTGCATTTACGTGGACAAAGAAATACATTTATATGGTTCCACTCTATACTACATCGAATTTCTAGTAATTAAACAGACCATTATAAAAATATAATAGGGTACACATGTGTGGCTTACCATGAAAATAGTTCCAGACGAGACAACAGCCCAGGTTTCCAACTTCACCTTCATGGACTTGGCAGTTTTGGATGTAAGTCGGTGTCAAGGTGGGAACTTGGTTGGGGTTTGCCTTCCATAACTGGTGAAAAGCATCACAATCTGACTTAATCTTAACCTGATTTGTTTTAGTACTAAGTGCCATATCTCTCTCTAGGTTAGTGCTTGAATGAGAATTACTTGCTCCTGTCATCACAATTTATAGATCGATCAATAATATCCTCCATTCCCCACCACCTAATAATTTAATCACCTTACTATTCATAATGCTAAAAAATAGTATGTACTCATAAGATTTAAAAAGAACTATTTGATCATGTGATTCATGTTTAATTAGATGTGCATATCTTATAGTAGTCACGATTTTATTAAAGTTAACCAAGAAAAAAGTACCTGCTATTTTGCGTATTTATTTTATCATCCAAATTACTCGGAATCGCTTATTAATTGATGGATTATTATTTACTCCTTTACGGTATTAAAAACATCTGTTATTTTTATATATTAAAAATATGCAAGGGGGCTGAAAGTGTGCAAGGTGTGCAAGACGCAACAAAATTATATACTGTATTATAATTTTATGTCCACCATTGTTGTCGTATTTAGTATATGAGTTGGGTGATAGACCCACCTTGTGTACCTTGTGTTCCTTCGTATTGTTTACCGGGTATCGATTCTTGCTTCCCCATCATCTGCTCTATTTTTTTACAAATGAGTTTAACTTCATAACTCTTTGTTAAATTTCATTACACCTAATTCATGAGACATCACTTTTTTTTTTTCTAACGCAATTCTTGAGTCCATTAAGTGGATTTATAAAATTACGTCTTTTTTCCTTTAGCTAGGAAAAAAAAAAAAACAACAACGACAACAACCACCACCAACACAAAATTACATTTTCTCCCTTGGTTAGCAAGTTACGAATTTCTTTCTTTTTTCTAACCCGATTCCTATTTTTTCTACGAGTTTCAACGTTTCATTTTTAAATTTCAAGTTTACTTCAGAAACAGAAATGCTCAAGTAGTCAAGTGTCATGCAAGCTTGTTGGACGTGGATTCCACATTTCAGTCTTCTAAAAACATTAGGAGAACCTTGTGGTTTATGTAATTATAGAAGATAATATATTGTATTATGGTTATTTTGTTTTGATTGTTTTTATAGTATTTATCGACTTATTTGTAGTATCACAGAAATTTGATTTGGTATAAATAAAAAGTTATATTTAAGGACTCTTTTTTTTATAGGCCCTCAATATCAATGGGAAACCCTAAATAAATATTAAACATTTGAAAATAACTTGACCGATCACAAGAAAAAAGTGAAATTCATGTAACCTATGGGAAGGGTTACAAATTTCCATCAAGAAAAAAACACTACTAGAAACATGAGTTTTAGAGACGGACGAATCTGTCGCAAATCCGTCGTTAAAGATCATTTGTGACGGATCAACCGCAGACTTACTCCATAGCCAATTAAATGCTGGCTAATGACTTAGCGAATGATTTAGCGTCGGATTAGTTTTCTCTTGCGACGACCTTAGCGACAGAATATCCATCGCATAATGGCACTTAATACTACAATTTAGGACATTGGCAACAAAACCTAACAACAATATTCTGTCACTAATCCCTCGCAAACCTCTATATCAGTTTTTTTCAATGCATCGCTAATCCCTTGCAAATTTAGACGTGATTTTTTTTTCTTCCCGTCGCAGATCTATCGCAAATTTAAGATGTGGAATTTTTTCCATAGCTATTCCCTTGTAAATACATAATATCATATTTTTGTTTGTTATGAATCTAAAACAAAATAATACCAAAAAATCAAATAATTATGTAATCAAAAACAAATATTAACATTAAAATACCAAAAACATTCAATAATTATACATTCCCAAACAAAACGTCAACATTAAAATACCTAAAGAATCTAACCATCAAACTTTACCAAAACATCCATAAACATCAAATATCAAAGTTCAACATTGATTGATATTTGATTTAAAAGTATAATGTACCATAATTTTAAATTCTAAACTTCCTCTCATATTTTGCATTTTCGCACACATGTTCTCTATTGCTTTGATTAGCGTCCAAAAGAATGACAGAATGGAAATGGATTCTGATTCCCGTTCAATCCCATGGAATTAAGAGAACCAGTTTCCATTTAGTTTTTCTAGCAATGGAAAGAGACTGGGTTGCATGATGTCTTCTTGCTTTTTGCTAGATTTAACGTCTTTGTTGTAAGCAATGTTTTTCTGTTGATGAAAAAAAGCTTAGTTTCTACTCATTTGAAACCAAATGTGGGACCGGAATGGAATTAAATTCCGATTCTAACCAAAAAGTAAATGATAATACATGTTGGTGAAAGAAAATACCGTGTTTACAAATTGCTTGTTAGAAATTGTTGTCACTCAAGGACCATCATCCACACCAAAATTAACATTAGATATAGCATTTTTTAAAAACAATATGCAATATTTTTAATTAGGAAGGAAGTTAAAAACTAACCTTCATGGTCTGTAGGTCTTTCCACGGGCCTTTGCTTGGATGGAATGGAATGCACAAAGTAATGGAATGAATCATTACATCAACGCCTTTTATGATTTCATCATTCCAAACACTACTTAAGAGAAAATGAATTAAGTACATCCAAATACAGTTTTACTTGGGCTTCTTCCTTACATTATTCCCCTGATCCCTTCCCGTATGATTAAAATAATCATTAAAAAAGATAAAATAATTTAAAGATATAGTTACATTATTGAAGAGCAGTCAAACCATGGTCAACACATAGAGAATTCGCTATGGGATTTAGCACCACAAGACAAAGCCCGCAAAATATATATTAAAGTTTTTAATCTTTCAAATCATATATTTTTTATTTACTAATGAAATCTATAAATTTAAAGAAAAGGTTTAATTATCTGTGCCATATTTTTTGGAATGGGACATGGACCAAATAATCAACTTATCAACAACATTTGAAGTGATTTGAAATGTAATTCCTTTTTCAACTAACATTGTAAGTATTTGTCCTAAACTAAGAGATAGGATACATACTCACTCACATGTTAGAAAAGGTAAAGAAATAGGAATGGAATTGAATTCCTTCAAAACATGAAAGGAAAGGTGAATTTCGTGAATGATGGAAAAGGAATTCGAAAGATTTCAACTGAAATTTAATATTTACCTCCAATTGAGACTTGTTATACTATAATGGAATGATGAATTGTTGAGCAAACTTTCTTTTTTCATAACTTTGAGTTTATTTTTGCATCTTCTTCATCTCTACAACTTGTGCCTAAGAGCTATTTTTTGTAACTTCTCTTCCTTAAATATAAGATGTATTATTTATTAGTATGTTAATACAAATAGCACATTATTAAATACAATTTCATATTTTTTTAAGATAACTAAAAGTTTAAATGTAACACCCCCACTCTCAGGTATAAACTTTACAGCCTTATTTTCATTTTGAAAGGTCTACTCAACAAGTTGGATGCCCTGACTCGTTGAGTAGGAACGAACTTGGCCGCGTGTCTTAAGTGACCAACTCGATGAGTTAGAGGACACAACTCGACGAGTTGGAGCTGGAGGATGAAACCCTAATTTTTAGGGTTTGCATCCTATTTAAAGGACCTTATGTCCCTTCCTCCAGTCCTGCACCACCCCTTTGATGGCTGAGAGAAACCATAACATGTCTGGATCTTGTTCTTGAGTGTTGTGAGGCTAAAAGTGCTTTGTTGGTGCATTCTTTGAAGAGATTTGAGGAGCCAGTGGATCGGGACGAAGAGAAGCGTGTGGATCTAGTATCTACTTCATCTTGGCATCATTTTGAAGGTAAAAAGTCGTTACTAAAACCTCTTTCTAGCTAGATCTCTCAATGCTTGAGATTAGGGTGATTTTAGCATGTTAGTGACTCATTTCGGGTATTAGGCATGATCTGAAGTTATAACTTCAGATCTAGGCTCATCTTAGTCCTTATAGTGATAAAGATTCATCCTTTAGCAAGATAATGTTTTTTCTTCACCTAGAACCTCTTCTTTAGCTTGATTTTGGCCTTTAGCAAGATAATAGCCATTCTTGTACTTGTGGTGGTTACTGCTGAAGTGTCGAATGACCAGGCGATACATCAAGGATGCTCAATTGAACTCTTGTGGTAACACAACTACAATTGATGTGTCGCTATTGTTGCCCGATAGCAAGGATGGGCAGATAAAATACATATGGCACTATTATCCAAACATAGGCATCCATTAGAACCCGGGGAGAGGATCCAACAATTTGCGAAGGGTGCATGATTATCGCTGGATACGAAAGATCAAAGATTACCAAAGTAACTCCCACTACAATTTCTTGAGGACCGGTTGTTGTTCCACCACGTCTAGAGTTATCAGAACGGAGATTTTGAGAACGAGTGATCACTAGAAGGCATGACATTCTTTCTTCCTCCAATAGTAGCAAAGATCGGCTTGTAACAAAGTCGAGAGAGGTGTATGGTGTCGAATGAATGTGATTATGTTATGGAATATTCTAGAGAGCCCATTGATTAGGTATGTGACTAGAGTTCATCCGGAAACAATCTTTCACAATATTTTTTTTAGAATATTTATTAAAATAATGATCATTCTCCAAGTACCATGGAGTGAAGTTCATTATCCAAGTCGATGAAAAGAGATCGAGTGATTATTCCATTCAACATCGTTGGTGCATGCAGTGTTGGATCTATCGTTAAGGTGATCAATAATGTTGCTTCTAGTGCAATGGGCTTCAACCATTTACTTGCCATCCGTAAAAATATGATGTTCTTAACGTACTTTATAGGAGTAATTTGCATTTACAATTTTTGCTGACCTCTTTTAACATTCAGAACATTATCAAAACACAGTGACCTAAATATTTAAAAAGCAATTTATTTTTTAGAATTAAGAATTTTTTTTCTAATTTTTTCACCTATAGACTATAGTAGTTTGTCACAGAATTAAAATTTAGTATATCAAACTACGTTTATTATGACAATACCATTTATTACATATAGCAGGAGCATAAAACATAAGATAACAACATAGTGCAACATCTGATACAAAGAAATCAGTTATTGTCGCCTGTATTGATATGGCATTAGATCTTGATTTATTTAATTGGGGAGTTGGCAAGCCTCTATGTCTCTGGTAACCTTCTCGTAGAATTCCATCAGCGTATCGGGATCAGGAACATTCACTACTAGAAAACTAGGGCAATAGCTACGGCACAATCCGTAGCTATTCGGTAGATATAAGGCGATACCTACGGATTTGCTACGGAAAATGCCCTGTAGCATAAATGCCCGTGGGAAATTTTTACCTACGGAATTGCTACGAACTAGCTACTGAATACCTACGGATATTTCCGTAGGTATAATACCTACAGAATGGCTACGGCCAGTAATTGCTACGGAATACCTACGGATTGCCAACGGGTGTATGTTCCTACGGAATAGCATGGCTACGGATTTCCTACGGATTACCCACGCAAGTGTTTTCCTACAGAATAGCTACGGAACTGTTTAGCTACGGATTTCCTACGGATTAACGACAAAACTCAAGTTTAACTAAAATTGACTTTCTTCCTACGGAATACCTACGGACCTATTTAACGACGGATTTCCTTAGCTAGTCCGTAGCTAATTTAATTTTATCAAAAAAAAAAAAAATTTTAAAAATTTAAAAATTTATATTTTTTGTCAAATACCATATCAATTCAATTTGTCCAAAATACACCAAAAAAATGTCCCTAATACCAACTTTGACACATTCAATTCCATTGTATTAAATACCATACAAATGTCTCAAGTACCATACAAATTAGGCATAACAAAACAAGCAAACAATACAAGTGTTTACAAATTCAATTGTTCCAAAATACTTATCAATTGTTCCAAAATACTTATCAATTGTCCTCGGGTGGATTATCGGGGGGACCACGGGGTTGATTTCCAGACATATTTATTATCCTCATAACCATCTCCATTTGTTCTTTCATTTGTTGTTGTTGTTGTTCCATGACAGAAACTTGTGCACGCAACCTATCAACCTTAAAAATGGTGACACAATTCAATACTTAATCAATAATAGCAATTTATTTTAGTTTATTGTAACAATGCATTTTAGTTTATAATTATAGCAATACACTTAACTTTTAAAACATAATAGCAACATATATTTATTTTTATCAATTTGATCAATATTATCAACAAACTACATAACCTTTAACCATAATAGCAACATACTTTTGTTTATTATCAATTTAATCAATATTCTCACCAAACTACCTAGATTTTAACCATAATATCAACGTATTTTTGTTTATTATCAATTTAATTAGTATTATCAACATACCTCTTGTTGTGTGCTATCCGACTGGGTGGACTGGGAAGATGGAGTCCCTAAAACCAAAAAATGTATATTCGATGCTCCTATCCCATAGATAGCACCCTTCTTCTTTCCTTTTCTTCTAAGTTGGCTTTCCTCCCATACATCTACATCATCCTTACGATTTGAAGGATCTTCACCAAATTTGTTGACTAACCCATGCAGATACCCCTCCTACAAATTACAAAAAACATGATTGTCATATACAAAAATGAAACAATCAATATACATAAATGATAAAGATAAGTTACTAGTGATTCTTTGGCCGTCTGCGAGCAATATTCAATATTTTCATGATTTCCCTCAAAATATTTTTTCTTTGACTCGGCGGTGCCATGCGTCTGCACAAAAACATCATATTGTGTGGGTGGTTTACCCATCAATTTTTCCTACATAAAACTCAACGTACAATTAATGTAGTTAGTGTTATAAAAAAATAAGAATAATAAAATTTATTATTGTGATACTTACTAATTTCCTACGGTGCTGGTCAAATCTTATACTACCCGCTGTGTGTCTTGCTGTTGACCCACTAGAATCTGCGGTGTTGCGGTTCTGCTGAGCGATTTTTGAATTCTTTTGCCACTTCTCTGTGGACCAATGCTGTGAAAAAATATATATATATATATATATATATATATATATATATATATATATATATATATATATAAGTACAATAATATAATAAGAAATAAAAAACATAACAAAAAAATAATATTGTATCATATCCGTTACATCACACAAACGTTGCCACACAGTCTCCGGTACGCGTTCGGGGCGGTAGTTATGCATCCCATCATAGTAGCTACAAAACTTTGGGGGGAGGGGTTTCCCATCATTTCGTGCCATGTCGGCAGATTGTTTCCTAATACCTTTCATCCTATCTCTGTATCTATCCTTGAGGACACACTTGAATGCATCAAATATGTTCTCATTCTCTTGTGAATGCCACCTGTACATTGTCTGTAAAAGATAACAAGTAAATTTAAAAATACAAACTAAAAACAAATGAGTATAAGATACAATAACAAATATTTAATATATTACCCCGAAACGCGAAAACATCTGTAGAAGAGCCTCATTTGGAATATCACTGAACCGGGCCCACGGATGATCTAAATTCTCCCAAAAGAGATGAATACACGCGCTGTGGATTTTTTGATCCCCAAACCTACATTATTGAAAAAACTATATAAGTATAATTATAACATCAAGAAATTAAGTTTTAAATGATGAAAACACTAACTTTTCCCCATCTCGTCTGATGAGGGGCAATGATGAGGCGTGAAAATCACTCGCATTCGAGTCATGACCTCCTGAAATGCCTCTAGAGGCGGAGCCATGCGGCGTCAATGGCGTGTTCGGTGTCATCGGTGTGTGTAGGGTATGTGGTGACCGAAAGGTTGCCTCTGCATCTGCACCCTCAAAACAATAGTCCTCAAACCCATCATTACCACCTGTCCTCAAAAACATTTATGGGGACTGAGGTCTATAATCCGTCTGTGGTGGGAGCTGAGGCCTATAATCCGTATGTTGGACCAGGGGCATCTGACCCGTCTCTCGAGCCCGACGGCGAAGAATCCCGACCAAGTCTGCTAAAGGATCAGCCATAAGGGTTTGCTGACTAATAGCACCCTGACTGTTGGAGCCTGCAACTCCTATCACTATCGGCATATCGATCGGTATGAGTGTCGTCCTATAACGTGGCTCTTCGGTAGAATTAGGGGATGCCCTCCCCACCCTATGCCTCGCACTACCAAAAAAAGAGTTGTTACTATGGCCTTTATCCTTGAGTCTATTACCCGACATGCTGCATTTAATAGAACAAGAATGGTCAGTTATATAATATATGATTAATAAGTTATAACAAAAGAAATGTTTAAAATAACAATATGTCCAAACCAAAATCATTAAAAAAACAACATTTAATTTTAAGGTTTTAAAAAAGAAGACAATGCTCTTAACATCAACAAATACAATGCTCTTATCATCAAAAAAAGACAATTCTCCTAACATCCGTCCTCATCATCTTCGTCTTCAAATTCTTCTTCTGAATAATACAACTCGTTTTCATCATCTTCGACTTCAAAATCTTCCACTTCTTCGTCTTCCTCCCTAATTCTCTCATTCTCGTCGTCGGATATTTGCTCATACGTATTAGTAGTTGAGGCTAGGCACAATCGTTCTGCACGAGTTACAGTAAGGGGTGACTCAAATCGTTCTTCATCCTAAAAGATTTCATCTGCTTCCATTTCAGCTTCGGTAACTTCAAATACCCCTCTTGGTTTTGTCTTGATCATTGCCCACTTATCTTTAGTCTCCCTTGTCATTGAAGGGTATGGTGTATAAAACACTTGTTCTGCTTGTGATGACAAACAAAAAGGGTCGTCAGTTTGAAGTCGAGAGTTGTATTTGACATCAATCAACTTGTTTTTGTTGACTATTACACCATCTTTGTTAACAAACCAAATACAATTAAACAATACAACAGTCGAGGGTCTGCTGCTATAATACTTAATCTCTATGATCTCTTGCACTATGCCATAGTAGTCTGACTCTTGTTCGGCATTATACGTCTCCCCTCTCACACATACTCCAAAGTTATTCGTCACACCACCCTCACCGTATTGTTGAGTGTGAAACTTATAACCATTTACAAAATACCCATTATAGTAATGAGCATGTCTCGATGGTTTATTAGCTATAACTTCTAAGTGTCTAGCACTTCCATCAGGTGTCTTATACATTACCTACAGTGAAAATATACACATTATGTTGGTTAATGATGCATTGGTAACAATCAGTATGATTTAACTATTTCTACTTACTTTGTCCTCAAACCATTCAGCAAAGTATTTATCTCTTAAATCTGAAACTGATTCGTTTGGATTTGTTTTCATGACCATTTCATCAAACTCCGTAACGTAAGGGTTAACTTCTTTACAGTTAAGTAATATGTAGGTGTACACCTTGTGGAAATCTTTATCAGTCAAAGCTTGTCGTTTTCCACTTTTTTCATATAATCTTCTTGAAGGGACAACAAAGATGCTAAGTGGAGCTTCTCCACTAGAAAAATTATGACTTTGCGGTGCAAAATTCCGTGCTTCTCGATTATCGCGTGTCTCAATCGTCGGGTCAAAATATAACGAACAATAGGTAGCGAGTTCATTCACTAGATGTTCGTTGACTATTGAACCCTCAACCCTTGCTTTGTTCCTTATTCTTCTTTTAATTATGCCCAGTTTCCTATATTTACAAAGTATAGGCGATGTGTTAGGAAATGCAACGTTTTCGAGCATAATACTTTAAAAATGTTAGATATATAATAAAACATATGATTACCTCTCGTATTGAAACATCCATCTATAATGTACCGGACCACCAACAATAGCTTCATCAGCTAAATGTATAACTAGGTGTTCCATTGAATCAAAGAAGCTCGGAGGGTATATTTGCTCCAACTTGCACATAGTCTGAATAATACTGCGTTTCATATCGAACATGTCCTGAAAATGCAACGTTTTCGAGCATAATACTCGAAAGTACATAGATATCTCTGATACGGCCTCGTATATCTTTGTTGGAACAAACCCTCTTAAAGCTAAGGGAAGCAACCGTTGCATAAACACGTGGCAGTCGTGGCTTTTGAAACCATAGAAACTGTAATCTTTGATGTTTACGCAGTTTCCTATATTTTGATGCATACCCGTCAGGAAATTTGTGCTTTTTCAACCACTCACATACTTTTTGAAATTGGTCCTTTTTCAATGTGTAATCTCCACGATTCTTCCTAGCCTTCTTGTTGTTGTCCCTGATAGGGTTTAGTATAGGTCGATCACATAGCATCTCAATATCTTCTCTTGCCTTTATATTGTCTTTGGTCTTTGAGGTGCCCATCGAAGTCTGAAACATATTTTCAAAAAATTCCTCTGAATATGCATCAAATCAAGGTTGTGTCGGATCAACAGGTGACGCCAATATGAAAGCTCCCAAAAGATGCTCTTCTTTACCCAGTTATGTGTAATACCAAAACCATGTGGTTTTGCATAATTTGGACCATAGGGTGTACTGTTGTATACAGTGGGAAAATGTTGGATTTTCTCCCAAATATATTCTCCGGTTGGGTACGGAACAGGCACTTCATGACCTTTCACTTTCTTGCCTTTTAAAAAATTAACCGTATCATTTCGAAATACGTGTCTTTCGGGTAGATGTTTTCTATGACCGTCAAACCAACACGGTTTTTGTCCGTTGACAAGCCGGAATGATTCTGTTTGGTGCATGCAATATGGGCACGCTAAATTACCGTGAGTGCTCCATCCGGACAACATTGCATAAGCAGGGAAGTCACTAACTGTCCATAGAAGTACAACCTTCATTTGAAAATTGGTCATTCGATGAGCATCATAAGTTTCAATGCCATCTGTGAACAACATCTTCAACTCTTCCACCAGAGGTTGTAAAAAAACATCCAAATTTTGTCCAGGACTCTTCTTCCCAGGAATGATCAATGGAAGTTGTATGTACTGATGTTTAAAAGCCAACCAAGGGGGTAGGTTGTAAACAGTGATAAACACCGGCCAACATGAATAGGGAGTTGTATTTGAATTATTAGGACTAAACCCATCAGTACACAACCCGAGACGAATGTTGCGCGTCTCATTTGCAAAATCAGGATATGTTGTGTCAAGACCAAATGAGGAATTTTCCTCCCTCTGTCTTTGTACCTATTTTCACCACACACTACACACTGATCCAGATCAGCAAATTGGCCCCTAAATAGCATGCAATGGTTTATACACACATGAATCTGTTCTGAAGGCAAGTTTAGTGGCTTCAACATTTTCTTGGTCACGTAGAAGCTGTTAGGAAGCTTCTTGCCAGATGGTAGAATGTCTTTAACAATCGAAAGTAGTTTATCAAATGACGTGTCTGAAACATTAGATTGTGATTTCCAGTCCAATAATCTAGTGGTCGCGGCGAGTGTGGAAATTTTTGTACACCCATCCCATAAAGGTTCACTCGCTTGTTT